TTCGTGACTATCCCTTGCCCCGTCAACATTTAGCTTCAACCAATTTCTCGGAGGAGCAGCCATTTGTCTCTAACAGTGGTGATCGAAATCACCCGATTTTGAGTAGCAGCTGACTCCATTGCTCTCAAACTCTCTTCTTACAAACGAAAGCTTTGATCAACAACCGACGTGGACCCCATCTTATCTATGTAAAAAACGCACAGGTTACGATGCTTCCATAAATGTCAGACAATCACCCCCAAACCATAGAACTAAATCGTGTCGGCAACGCATGGTAAGGCCCGCATCGTAACGTTTGTTAAGGTTATCGTGATGTAATATCAACGTAAAACAATAAGAGAACCGCATCACGATTGTTGCAGTCAAAAACCGTTATGTAACATCGCAACACGCTATAAATTACACTGTAACTCCGCAACAAACTTTAAATTATCTGAAATATAACATTACATAGATAAATTGTTATAATTTAATTCTTAAAACTATATTATAAATATATATCATTAATAATATCGTAATAGTTATGTTTAAAATTAATTACTTAAATTTGAATTAATTAAATTACTTATTAACATTATTTTAAAATTAAATTAATTTAAATTTAAATTGAATTTTTCTCATATCTAAAATTGACGTGATTAATTTTAAATTAAATTTTTATATTAACATTAAGTATTATAATTATATGTTTATTTATTATTATATAAATTTTGTATAAGAGATGAATTCATTTTATAATACTATAAAAATATATGTATTTTATGAAACTATAAAATTTTATCTAATCTATTCACAATAAACTTTTATCATACAACATGTTTCCTACCAATGATACATCATAATGTGATGTCTTCTTCGCCTGGAATAGGAAGGAATCAAAATCGAGACAATGACGAAGATGAAAATGCTTTAGATCCGTCACGCCATTCATTTTGGTGGTTTATATGTTATTCATTAACATTATAATTGTTATTACTCATTATCCAGTATGAAAGAACTTCTATGGTTTATATTTGTTTTTAATAAATTTTTATCTATGAAGTTAAATTTTTATTTTCAAAATAAAATATTAAAAGAGTATATTAATATTAATATATTAAAAGATAACGGTAAAATGTATAATAATATAATATTTTAGACGTATTGTGATTTTTGAGGAAGACATCACGCCTGCGACAGCCGCAACACGTTACGTAACGTCTGCAGCATCCGCAACCGCTACACCACAATCGCATCCGTACAAAATCCGCTACCGCAATTTGATACTCTGCCCCAAAACATCTATGTCCACTCCTTAAAGCCCTTTGCAATCTGATCCGGATTTGACAGATTAGTTAACAACAATTCCTGAAATCCCATTGACAGGAATTCATTCAATTTCGTGGATTGGATCAACCGTTTCCACACCTCCAAAGCTGTAGGTCACATGCTAAAAAGGTGATCCATGGTTTCCTCAGAGTCGTCACAAACCCAGCACCTTGAAGAATTGCTCATATGTCGGCGAACTCGCTCCACGTTCGTGAGGAGCTTCCCACAAGCCACCAGCCAAAGTAAAATCCTCACTCTCGACAATCCTTTGAACTTAGCAATGTAATTCCGAATGCTATCAACTGAAGTAGATGTCGTTGGCATACATACCTCATAAGACGATTTCACTGTGAAGATTTTGTCCGATCTCTACTTCCACCCACAACCATCAATCGCACGAACCTTAGGCGGTGTCAACGTGGCCATTAGCCGTCGAATAATATCCTGAGGAAGGATATTATGTATCTTATTCCAATCCCACTCACCATTCACATCAACCATATCCGCAGCCATGATTTCCGGAATATTTGCCGCCACATTCTGCTCAACTATATAGTCACGCAGCGGACCAACATCACCTAGCCAAGGGTCTCTCCAAAAGTCGATACTCGTTCGTCCAAATAAGGCTCGATTGAACATCATGCCATACTAAACTTACTCCCTTCCAAAGTAATCTTTGACATATCTTTCGTGTTCTCTAAGGTGGTAAGGTGGCCTCAAACCTTTTAAGTTTTGTTATGCAGATTAACCACACAATCCTTGAATCTATTAGAGACGAACCTAACAGTTTAACCTTATTGGTTATGCTAATGAGCCTGTCATAATACTCCTTGACTGTCTTAGTTCCCTTCATCTTCTGTAGCTCAAAATCACGTGCAAGATTCCACACTTGCATCTCTCGAATTTTTCATCTCCCTCGTACTCAGTCTTGAGATAATCTCATATATTTTTTTGCCGACTTTAGAGACATAATTCAAGTAAAATAGTCGGTGATGTTACAGCAAAAAAAATGCTTTTACCTTCTATTTCCTTATCTTCTTTTCTTTTTGTGCTTTGATATGTGTTATGGTGGGGTTGGTCGATAATGCAGGAATCTCATAATCCTCTTTGACGGCTTCCCAAAGATGTATAGCCTCTAGGTAAGTTTCTATGTGTACTGCCCAAACTTGATAATTGTCTCCATCAAATGTAGGCAGCACAACCAAAGACAAATTACTTTCACCTTCCATGATATAGTAAGCACTAACACAGGACCCTCAAGAAAAAAAAATGCTCTCTTACCGATTTTTGGTATTTTAATGAAAAGAAAAGTTAAAAGATGAAGAAAATTGAACATTATATACTTATTCCGCAACATTCATAATTTAAATAAAATAAAATTAACAACCCACTGACAACATGCTCTTAAATTTAAGTAATAACAATTAACAACTTTATCCTAAACTTAAGCAACACTGAAAACAACAAATAAACTAAAAATAGAATCAGTTCTAAACACATCGACTAACATGAATGTATCTGATATCAAATATAGGTTTTTAAGTAGAAATGCTTTTGCTGGTATATATAGATGATGAGCTGGAGGCAACAAAAATAAATATGAGCATTTTTATTTCAACTACATTTCTTTGTGCTATTTCAAGCAAAATTCCTTTGTGCTTGAACAGATTCTGACTGACCTAATTCTACATTTCTTTCCATTTTTCAGTTGAGAGATAAAAGTAAAAGCATGCATTATCAGAATGCTTTAAATAATTATATATAACACGGCAAGACTTCAATTCCATTACTTGAATGCTCATACTTATATGAAATAATGAAAGGCTTTTCACAAAAGGAAAACGTATAACATATAACAAGATAATCCAACATGTAGAACGGTGTATATGTAAACAATCTCGTGCATATAGATCAAATTGAAACTAAGGAACCATATATAGAAGTATTCTCTGGTTGTTGTTTAACCAGAATCAAAGAATGCAGCTGTTATCAAATAATGCTGTCATCTAGGGCTAGCTGAAACAAATAATTTCTACTTTTATATGTGTGTGTAATAATATTGAAAACTGAAAAGTCACTATAAAAAAGCTTGAATAAGGAGTTACAAAAAGTATAAAAAAAAATTATAGAGCTTAACGCATTTAATAGCCTTCTGATGCATGTTCTAGCCAGGTATATGTAGCTTGATAAAAGAAAACAAGGATGCAAATGAAATTTGATCGAGGAGGGAACAAAGTTGTAGCTAAACAGGAGACCAGTGAACAAAAAGTGTGGTATTAGGTGCACAGTAATTCTTCAAGTTTCATCTAGGGTTTTGATGTTGAGAAACTACAAAGAGAAAATCTGAGAATTTCTACAAACTATCACATAGATGAATTGAGAAAGTGGAGTGATATGTGCAGATTAACCTTTTGCATTCTCTCCCTTAAATTATTTTGAGAAAACTGTACTCCTCCAAAAGTTTCTAATAAGGTTAACAATCAATTCACATATTCAATTTAATTGTTCAGCAATTTAGCATTTATGGGCACCTTCGATGATTAAATTTTTTAGGTTAAGAAAAAAGACAAACGACGAACTTTGAAAAACTATATAAGATCAAAAGTGTATATTTTATTCACTTGCTACTATACCTGCACGGGATTTGATTCACAGATCTTATATTTTGGTTATTTGGTCTAAGATTTCAATAAATATAGAAAACAAAGTAGGAAACTATTCATTCGATTATTACCTTCAATATGCAACTTGCAGTCCTAGTTAAGACGTGTGAATACATACATACATACATATAAAAATGTTTGATATCTTTTAGATTACTTGGGACTATGGATGGAAGCTAACCAAATCAAGCAAAAGATGAGTAAATATTTAGAGGAAGAAAATAGAAAACATGCAGTGAAGGCTAACCAGACAACTACAGTAGAAAATAATTTTTATTTATGATAGCATCTGCATTCTCCAAGAGAGTTAATAGTATATGCCAGTGTGGGTGAACCGAAAGAAAGGAGTGATTTTCGTTAAGGGAAAGCATTCAAATAAGAAATGAACAATATAGAAACAAATTAATGCGTTAAAGAATAAACAGGTGTGGGGAAGAATTTAATGAACAGAAAAAGGGTCCAAAGAAAACCGATGGAATGCCTATACCTTTTAAAAGCCCCCTGCTAAGTTTCTCTGCAAAACCTGCGGGCGTGCCCAACGAAGCAGTGACAAGAACAACAACCCAACCAAGTAAAAACAAAAGAGAGCAAAAAAAAAAGAAAAAAAAAAGAGTCGGATTACATCAGATAGAGAGCAACAACCCCTGCTAATAAGTTTCTCTGCAAAACCTGCGGGCGTGCCCAACGAAGCAGTGACAAGAACAACAACCCAACCAAGTAAAAACAAAAGAGAGCAAAAAAAAAGAAAAAAAAAGAGTCGGATTACATCAGATAGATAGCTCAGTTACTGATGAATCAGGAAAGGTTGTTATTAAACGAAAAACAGTGGAGGGAGGGAGGGAGGGAGAACAGTTGAGAGCCAAAGGGAATAAAGATACTTCTGGGGATCTAATTCAGAGGAAACAATGGGATGGATGGATACATTCAGTCCAGACCAAACCCTACAAAAAGCAATCTCGGAGTCCATGGATCTATTATCTATACATATTATATTTTATACATAAACGCAAAAGGACTCTTGTGTTATAGTTGTCATCATCTCTTATGTCTATTCTCTACCTAGATCTTCAGACACCCAAACCCGCTAGTAAAAGACACTGAAATCTGAATACTTGTCCTTTCACAACACTCATAATATTCTTCCATCTCTTTTTATTAAGCATTGATAAGGATATGATATGATCATAAAGCAGCATTGTATATTTCAGCAGCTGGGTCTTCTTCCTCATAAGAATCAACAAGTGGTAAATCAAACAAAGAAAGAAAAAGCGGATTAGCAGCTGGTACTGTAATTCTTCTAGTCTTATATATCTCCAGGCATTTTGTTGTTGTTTTTGGTGGTTCACTGTGAGAAACATTATGCCAAGTCAACATGTTGTCGTCAGATATCTAAATCCAAGGACATGGAAGCTTTCCCTTTGATTGGGCTAAGGAAGTCAGTGGGGGGCAGTGGAGTGCCATTGTAGAACCTTAATTGGAGAGGATGCTGAGATGAGGAAGAGCGTTGAAGAGGCTGTGATGTCATTGTAGTCGTGGATATCACATTATACTCATCGGACTCCGGTATGGGGCAATCCATGTTCACCCCAAAAAGCCTTAACCTCTTGGCTGCTGCCTTGCCTTGGACCACCGGTACCGAATCAAACGCCACTGGCTCTACAAGTCCACCTTTCTGTTGCCACTCCATCATTCCCATTCCCATCTGTGGGGCTGCTGAAACCACTGCTGATCTCAGATAAACTATCGATCCCATCGCACCACCTGGATTCACCACATTGCTCCCAGAAGGATAACCTCCGTAGTAGCTATTTCGGCTAAGAGGGTTTATCTGTGACAGGTGAGAGTGATCTCTTCCTGTTGGTGGCGGTCGCATTAGCAATGGACTCCATGGGATCGAGCGGTGCAAGGGGAAATGGTGTTGCTGATGATGTGGATGGAAAGAAACCTGCGTCTCCGATGCATCAGGCCTCCTCCTCCAATCAATAAAAAGACGACCTTTACCAAACTCACCGACCCCTCTCTGGAAAGAAACAATATCGCCGGCATCGAGTTTCTTATCCTTGACAAAACGGCTCCACCCTTTGGTCATAACATAGCTTTGGCTGCTACTCCAATAAGAGTACCTGAATCTCCACGGCTTTCCATTCCTGTCTTCGAAATTCAAAAGAAGACCCTTCTCGTTCGTGGAAGAATCCAATGCGAAATACTTCTCCGCGTGTTGTTTTGGGATAACAAGACGGTTGAGTTTCCCCACATCGCTTGGAGTGACTACTTTTTCGAACATGTGTTCTTTCTTGATGTTGTCACCCGCAGTACTCCTGAGCTCCAGCGTTGAATCTGAGTCTACGCGTGCAAAATTAGCTTCACTTACCGACTGGGAGTTGCCAAGAGGAGGCAACTGGGTTTTGTACTGAGGAGAAGACGAAGTAGACGAGGAGGAACAGTATGCAAAAGGGAGCTTACCTCTTCCACCCATCTCTTCTTCTTTAAACCCTTTTCTGTCAGATGACTCAAAATACATGGTCCACGCTACCAATTCTGATTTTTCTTTTTCTGACGGTAAACAATGAAGATGAAGAAGAGAAACCAATCAAAGAAACGTAACTGGAAAGGAAGAGAAAGGGGGGGAAATCGAAAGCTAGTTGAGATTGAGAAAAATCAAACAAAGAGAAAAAGAAACAAGGCCAGACAGCGAGTCATGCTTTCTTGGTTTTGTTAGGGTTGAAGAAGAGTGCGGAAAGTCGGTGCTTGGACGAAACAAAAACACGGAAACAAAGAGTTGAACAACAGATGAAACCCCCCACTAGACGTTTCAATACAGATATGTTGCAACTGCAGCTACTTTGTTGACCTTGGAAGAGGAGAAATAAAATGGAAAATTGAGGTTTATTTGGTGGTCTTATTGTATTTTCCAAAGGTTCACATGTTAGGAAATCCACTATATTTCCTTTCTCTTTTTAATATTCTCAATTTATACCATCTCTCGTGGCTGCTTATGCTGGAATGTTTCTAAAACCCGAACAATTATCAAATTTGGATTCAATTATTTGTAATTATTACCATGTTTAGCTAATTTACTGCATTTTTCTTTTCAACTTAAAATCTTGAGAATTATGTAATTAATTAATGACTATAACTTCCAGGAAAAAGAAGTCCATTCTTTTAATTTTGAATCCAGTGTAATCTTACGCTGTCAACCAATGGGTACAGAGAATTACAATTCATTAGTAATTATAAGAGTGTCTTTTTCATAATTATTTTATAATGTTCAAACGCATCATTTTACTTAAAATACTACGTGCCGGTAAAAATATTTTTATTTTACTCTTGGATATAAATATTTTCTTATATTCAACATTTTATAAAAATGTTATTTCATGCAAAATAAAGGCATAAAGCAGAACATAAACGAGACCTTAAGTTCCCTCCATATATTAATGATGTTATTTAGCTGAGAAATGAGGGACCCCATGTATTATCTGGTTCGGTTCATGTTCATGTTTATGTTCATGTTCATGTGAGCTTGTCACTGTCATGATCCTGGGTGGTATGCATAGTTTTTTTAGAATATAAAGCCAGCTGTGTTTAAGAGCACGAGCTTCGTATAAGTCTAGCGTAATTAATTCTCCTTTCGTTTCTTATTTAAAAACCTAAAGTTTATATATATTATATTGGCCCATTTATTTCTTGGTTGTGATAATGTTTGTCTACTTCTGCTATAAAAGTCTTTGATTAATTAATGGTAACGCAGTCGTAGCATATTTTTATAATATATTTTATTATTTATATTTTATATTATATGTTAATGATCTAATTTTGATCTTTTTGGATTTTATAATTTCATAACTTCTAATTTTTAATATAAATTTTAAAATATGTATATTTTCATATAAAATTTTATGTTAGTATACGAACAATAATAAATTTATCTTTTCATTGTTTAACCCACCAAGATAAATTAATTATGTTGCAGCCACCACCTTAGTATTTAAACATCTGGTTTCATCGGATACGAACAAGGGAAAAAGTAAATTTGGCTCAGTCATTCATGCGTTTTTACCCTCAATGCAATACAACAGATTAAAATATATCACAACCCTAATTATATATTAAGAAACCGCATCCAACACTTTTGTCCCATGTGTGGAAATTTTAGAATTTTATGGAGATAATATGAAAATAGGTAGCTTTAAATTTGGAAGGTCCGTGTTCAGAATTCGTGCAACCTGGTCCTGCTGCACAGCCATCACTGGTCCAGCAACCACACTTGCCTGCCGCACACAAATGGACCTAGAAAAGGACGGATGGGAGATGTCGCTCTCTTGAAAAATTTTAATTTTTTTTATATTTAGATATTTTTTTATTAAAAATATACTTTTGTCTCATATAAAACTTTATAAGTTCGTTCACCTTTAACATGAAATCATGCATCTGTCCCATACCGTGTCTTTGCTTCCTCAACACATAAAACAAAGCCTACTACCATACCAAGCATTGCGAAATTATGGAGCAAGAATTAAATGTATATCGATTAAAGCTGGTAGATGGTTTACATTGATGTACACAGATAGATACCACTTCCATTTTGGTGCAAGATCTTCATCATCTCTAAAAATAGACTATGCCCTTCCCAGTGCTTTACTACAAGCAAACTATATCACTTATCCATACATTTATATTCGGTATGATTCATGTCTAATTCATAGTTAATGTCCCGATCAATAATATTATTTCTAAGATACGATATTTTTTTGAAAAAATTAATGTATCTTATTATTTCATTTAATATTTATTAATTTGTTTATATATTTATATGTCATTCATAAAATTGTTTTTGTTTTAATCGGGTTTAAGTTGCTATATTTTTTTATAAATTTTATATGTTTACATATTTTTAATATAATTTTATTTTTCAAGTTATATTCATATTAAATAACTTTGTGGCACCAAAATTACAAATTTCACTCCATTAGATTAAGAAGCGTGAGCAATCAACAATGTCGGTCAATTTATCTTCGTATTAAAAATCGTATTAACGCACCAACAACCAGTTGGTCTAGTAGGATGAGGCATTAAGTCTCTTAAGCAAACTCAGGGGTTCAAATCCTGACGTTTGCGAATGGAGCAAATTGGGTTGGGAAGTCGCCCTCGTCTCTGCAGTACTCGATCTAGATTAATTGGTCAATAAATCGGATACCAGTCATTAATTCAAAAAAAATGATAATAACGCGGCCTACCACCACAAACATACTAACATTAGAGGTAAAATTTTGTACGTGCGATTATTTTAAGGGTAAAATGTTGTTGAATTCATTTCATTATTAGTCAAGTTATAATACATACATTCACTTATAAATATGTCATTATCCGTTAAATATTAGATTAAATAATGATGTAGCTTAATATAATAACAATTATAGTTTATAAAACTTATACATTCTATTAATTTAGTATTATTTTAAAATAATTCAATAAATTTAATCATTTATATTCATAAATTCCATCAAAATAGTCTTTTTTTTCTTCAAAATTGCTTGTTCTTCTCTCATAAGTATGATATTACTTTTCCAATATAATAAAAGTTTAATATTAACTTATTGTTTTATGATAGGATACAATTATCTATCTATTAATTGATGGAATTTTAAATATGAAGGGTTGAATTTATGGAATTGTTTCAAATTAGGATCATATTGATAAACCGTATAAGTTTTAGGGCTAAAATTGCTATTATATCATGCCACATTAGACATATGTTTCTATTTTAACGATGGAATGTAATGTTTGTGATAATATTTTAATTGATTAACAAAATTATAACTTTTAGAGAAAAAAGAGACATATTTGTAACTGAACTAATAATTCAGTGGCATGGGTGTATTTTTCCTTATTTTAAGGATAAATTACATTACATGTTAGTGTATTGCGAGTAAGTTTACAATTGAGTAATTGTATTTTAAAAAATTGTAATTGAGTCACTTTATTTATCGATTATAATAATAAGTTCATTGTCATTAAGTTAATGAACATTGATTTCTTAGTTATAATCAAATCATTTTATTTATCAATTATTGTAATCAAGTCACTATATTTATTGATTGACAGATTTGGATTAAAAAGTTAGCACTAAGTACACACTTAATAACAGTTAGAATGATTTTACTTTTAAGGCAGCGGTTCATCCACGATACGATCAAATTTGAATTGTTTTTAATCATATTCTTTTGAAGTCAGTACTAATATTTCTTTTTAAAGTAATACTATACAATTTCCAACATTAAATACTTGGCCATTAAAATCTATGCTAGTGTTCATTGAACATATAAGTACGATGAAGATTACATATTCTTCTATGGAAGGACTTGCCATCAAAGTTGTTCACATATCATGTTTTTGAAATGGGGTTATTCTTAGACAATGTATGATTATATTTGAAATTTATTATTTAATTTATTTATTTTAACTTTGATTCTATATATTTTGGTAGAGAAAATAAACAAATGTGATTTTTTAAAATATACTATAAAACATGAAAGGAAATATTTATAAATTATAACACATGACAAATTATAACCCCATGGTAAATGTTCAAAGCCATGACCTCCAGAAACAACAATAATTCCTTTAACCATTGAGGTAAGTGGTTCGTGCCATTATTCGTATAAATTTGTTCCTAAACTTAAACACATGGAATATAAAACCATTATTGAGGATTGTGTTATATTTTGAAAATTAAAAATAAAATGAACTCAAGGCATGTCCACGGCCATGTCCATAGGTATAATATAATCACAATATATATACGTGTGTGTGTGTACAATCGTGTAAGATCCAATTTCGAAGTTTAGTACTATTGTATATTTATAAATTATAACACATGGCAAATGTTCTTGTTCCTAAACGTGTATATAATATATACATTATATGAATGCCAATAGAGTAAGATTGTAACACCATAGACCAGTACGATACACAGTCCACCAATGTAGGATACCACACGGAACCACTGAAGTGGCTAACCAACTTATTCTTACTTTCATGTACTTTAAAATAACTCTTTACATCTGAGAGCCCTCAAAATATATAGATACCTACATATTGACTCTTAACTGACTTTGCAACTCAATACAACTGAATTCATGAATATGCATGCCATTTAAGAAATTGGATGACATATTCTGCTATGCACTGGATCTGGACCACGGTCACTCTAAATCTTATTGAATTGGCTGAATATATTAACCTACCCACGTAAACATCCGAAGTAGCTCAGCGCCACACTAACAACTAAAATATACTAAAAGCATCATTGAAAAGCTCAAGCTATCAAGTCTACTGGTATAAGGTCTACTGGTATAAGGTCTACTGTTATTTGTTCTACTATCTGTTTTTTTATACTAGCTCACTCCTTGAGTGTTGGGCCTTGCGCCCAAGCTAGTTTGCTTTAAAACTACTTTTGTGAATATTTTCGAATACTCACTCTCTAAGCTATGGTAGACATCATGGTGTGGCTGAGGGTTCTGCTTCTCGGAGCTCACACACCCTTCTAGTCTACCCTGAATATGGCCCCCGGAATTCTCTGTATCGGAAACCATACCCCTGACTAACTCACCCTTTCTTCTTAAGAGTGTTAAGGCCTCGACAAACATAGTTAGTCGAAAGGGGCTCGGCCCTACCTAAGGATATCCGAACTGAATCTATAATGTCAACTATGCTAGCTTTTCTAAAGGAACTCGGGTATCCTAACCGTTTTCCCGAGCATTCAAACAATGCTAGTTTTATTTCTCCTAACTTTA